ATTACTGTAACTTGATAATTTAAGTAAATTTCACTGAGAAATTTTTTTTTACAACTTGTTCAAAATTGTGACATTGGACTTTTACCATGTTTATGTAAGTGTAATAAAAGGACTCGAACACTTCTCTCTGTCTTCGTGTCTTTATTCAGGTTCACGTCTTTACCCACACGGCACTCTGTTATAACTCCTGTATTTGTAGCCCCCGGCTATTCACTGCTATTATAGCTTCCTCTCCCCTCTGACTCTCTGCTTCATCTACTGTAACCTCCTCCCTGCAGACTCGCTGCTACCCCTATGCAGACTCCCGCTGCTACCCCTATGTGCAGACCCTCTGGCTGTCACTGTATGCAGACCCGCTGCCCACCCTCTCTGTGCAGCCCCGCTGCTGACTGCAGCCTCCTTGCTGCTTCGGGTCGGTCACCGCTGGCCAACGGTGCCGATCCTCGCTCCCCCCGTGTTCGTGGCGATCTCGCCACACCCCGCTTCGCCCTTCGTGGCCTTCCTCTGTTCCTGGTTCCCCGTCACTCTCCCTGCTCTTCCGGTTCCCCTCCTTCTATACTCAACCCCTCTCCCCCCACGTGACCTAACTCCTCCCCCCCTGACGGCACCTCAGAAGGGCCGTTTACAACCGCATTACGTAAGTAGAGGCCATGTGGATTAGAGTGAAATTGCTTTGACAATTTAACATTTAACGCTTCTGCTGATGCAGTACCATATAACAAAACGTGACCGAAAGGTTTCCGTGAGTGCATAATAGCCACGATGACGTGAGTCAGAAATATACATCGATAAAGAGAATAGAATAAAAAAAACTAAAAAGTGTGCAAAGAAGCAAGAAGAGACGCAGGGCTTGAAATTACGCTGCGAAGGACAAACGTGAATCAGGGACATCATATATTGTTAGAGAAATGGTGAGCGTGGGTAGGAGGCACCATGGCCAGAAAGGAAAATGGTAGCCAAATGATAGAGCATATACAGTAGAGGATAATTAACACAGAGATGGAGCGATAAAATCAGTTCATGCTCAGGACTGAAATGGGTTGTGTCATTGCAGGACCTCCAGAGATGGCAATGGTGTGGGGTGAGGCTTTCATGCAGCAGTGGATAGAACATGGCTGCATCTGATGATGATGATAATGGTGAGACATGAGTGTAAAAAAACGAATGATTTGTATCCTTGCTGATTTTATTCGAAAATGAATTTTAAAAGATTAAGAAGTATAATTTCGCATAGGTTTAGTGGGACATTTGTTCAGTTTGCATTGTTTAATAAGTTGAGTACTTAACGTTTATACGTCGCGAATTTGTATCTTTGACCTTGGCAGTGATGATGGGTCATTCCGTCACAGAAAGATGAAAACGTAATTATTAAATCCTTCTTTTTAATCATTGCAATCGTTGAGAAGCGCGCGCTAATGGATGTGATGATTGTATTATATGGGTATATGCAGGGCTTAATTTCTTCAGCCAGTGCTGTCCCTGGCTGAGTTTTTGAAAATATGTTCATGCTAAGAGGGGGTTGGGGGCGAGGGGGTTCAGTGGGCTATTATTCATCAGGGTGCCCTCGAAAATATTCCATGTACAATTAAGCCCCGTGTGCTGGTGTATGTACCACAGGCTATGTGACAATATTCTTTGAACGTGCAATCCAAATTCTACCGGATGCGATACCATCATTGTGTCTCTCGGGAGCCATGAATGTGTGTCCACGTTGGAAGAATTTACTACAGCTGTGCTCAAACTGCGATTATGCACAGTTGTGTTTCGTTGATGCCCAGTAGACCTACACATTATATATATAGTCCATAAACGGACACGCCTTAAGGACCCTTCTTCTTCTTTAGTGCTGCCTAACGGCGTGTGCGACTTCACGATGATATTGGTCCCGGTCTAGCACGGCGTGTAGAGTTTGTGCTGTTGTTAATTGTAGCCATGTTTTGATGTTACTGAGCCATGTCGTTTTTGGCCGTCCTGGTCGTTTTTTCCCTTCGATTTTTCCTTCCAGGATTTGCTTTAATAGCTGGTATTTGTGGTCGTTTCGGGCAATGTGGCCTAGGTAGTAACACTTCCTGCTAATGATGGTCTTCAGCAGTTGCCTGTCAGTGCCCATATCTTGCAGAACTTGTGTATTGGTGGTTTTGGCTGTCCATGGGATTTTCAGCATCCTTCGATACAGCCACATCTCGAAAGCTTCGAGCCTTTTTGTTGCTGTTGTTGTCAGTGTCCACGTCTCTACTCCGTACAGCAAAATTGACCAGATGTAGTATTTCAGTGTGCGCAGTTTCAGTGATGTACTCAAGTTGCGGTCTGCAAGGAGTGTTTTCCATTTAATAAATGCTTGCCTTGCTTGTTCAATTCTGCTCTTGATTTCGACTTCATGGTTCAACTGATCGTCAATGATTACACCAAGGTATTTAAATCGGTGTACTTGTTCCAATTTTTCGCTGCCCAGCTTGATTGTTATTTCGCTTGTAGTTCGGCTGACCTTCATAACCTTTGTTTTCTTTTTATTAATTCGTAAGCCCCATATTTGACTCTCTGTGGCAACCTCGTCCAAGATTTGTTGTAGGTCTTGTTCTGAATCTGCCAGCAGTGCAGTGTCGTCGGCATACCTGATGTTGTTGATGTATTGTCCATTGACTTTAATACCAATGTTTTTATCTGCTAGTGTTCGATCAAAAATCTGCTCTGAGTAGATGTTGAAAAGACTGGGTGAAAGTGGGCAGCCCTGTCGTACACCAGCATCTTTTTCAAGCAAATTCAACCTGTTTTAACTTGGGTCTGATAAATTATCATCATAAGCCATGCTCAAATTTTCAAGAGCCGCGACGTGAATGTGAATATAAGACAGTGGTCCTTAATAAATAACGTAACGAAGCAGCGCTTAAAGAGGTTGCCGATCCCTCGTCATGGTCAATGCACTGCTGAACGACAGCCTCCCCCAGCCAGCTACCTCCCACGACTTTGCGATGCAATAACACTGGTCAACAAAAAAAAAACATTTTTTTCTGGCCTGGACTTTTGCAGCTGTTTTAGACTAATTTCAGGGTGCTGATTCCAAATCTGATCTCAGATTTGCTCTATCACATCTCATTTTTATGCTATCGGCATACCCCATTTTCATTGATTTTACCCGAAATTAACTCTGTCACTTCAGAATGCAAGTTGTTGCGAGTCAGTGACTGCTTTAGTGTTAAAATATGGTGCTGTATTTTTAGTATAGTGTGTTTATAATATCATTTTACGTAGATATCCACATTTATTTAATATTTTTCTTCTGCAGTTTTTATTGAAAATGCAATATTTGATATCTCAAAAACCTGATGTGATAGACATCAGATTACCTTAAAACCGTTGGAATACCTTATGCAAGAAAAAGTGTGTTGACCAGTGTAACCATCATTATTCTCGCACCTGCAACGCTCGCACCGATATCATTGCTCCATCTCCTCGGTAGGCGCCCACTCGAATACGTTCCATTATATGGCTTCCACTCAATTTTTGATGGCAAAATGTTAACTACCTCGCCTGGTATACTATGAGGGCGTGGGTTCGATCCCGACCCTGACGCCTGCGTATTAGGAGTTCGCATGTCTCTCTGCCCGTGGTCGCGTGGATTTTTGTCCGGGTCCTCCAGTATTGTCATCTCCAAATTCAGAAACATGCATTCTGAGTATCTGGCTGCTATAAATGTCCACATTTGCGGCAAGCCACGTCGTTGAACTATCATTTGTGGCCACAGCTGTAAAAAAAAGTTGTGTGGTGCTGACCTGGTAAAAATAAAAATGTTGAGTATGTTCCTTAACCCACGTGTTTAGTTGCCTTTCCGCCTCCCGATGTAATTGCAGTCGCGTGCCACATGAGAAGGATGGAGGGGGGGGAGAGAATCTCCACACTTTCGCCTGTTAAATAAGTGGCGGTCCGTAGGGTGACCTTACGGGCAGGATCCATACATTCAATCTACGAGGCGTGTCAGCGCAAAAGTAGTTATGTATTATTTATCTGGGAGTCAACATCACTCTCCGAGTGCATCATCACGCTCCGTCAAAATGTTTTGGCTTCGGCCCACATTACAAGGCATTATGATGAATCGAGTATTACCTAAGCTCCAAATTGCCTCTCACATACGTGCATAAGAGCCTAAATGAACTTATATTTAGGCATATAAAGTATTGGCGTAGGTCTGCAACATAATTCAGAATTCGCAATCTGCATGATTAAATTAACGACGGTAAAATATGTCTTGCGCGCACTCGAAACGCGGATAACACGAACCATTAATATGACTATAATTGTTACATTTCCTATTTACTGCGCCTTAAGTAGACTTACTCATGTAAGTCCTCAAAGCTTGATTTTGCAAAGTAATTTTAGTTGAGCGATATTAATGACCCGGGTGGAAAATCAAATTCGGCTAATACATGTGAATCTGCCCAGGCGCTAATGTCACGTCACAATATATGCAAAATGGATGCGTTCAATTAATGCGCTAATGCGTTAGATCTTGGGCTAAGTGTGAGCGCATTTAATTGTTTCGTTAGCAGGCCCCTTTCACTTCCGAAAATAAAAAGAAGTCTCGTCTTAGTCAACCAGGCAAGTTAAAAATGTACCGACGATTCTACCATAACTGTTGAAAATGGAAATAAGACGCAACTCAAAGCGTTGTATCGGGGCTGATCAGTGGGCTTCTTGCATACCTTAACTTCGCATCCACGCGCTTCTAAACCTCTCCCTAGCCTCATTCATTATATCCTTCCAACAACCCTCCCCTCTCTCTCACTGTCACAGTCTTTCTAACAACCCCCCCCCCCCCCATTGCGTCTTTAGCGCGCGTTCTCGTCCGCAGACTGTGCAATCAGTGTGCCCTAATGGACGTGTCGATTCGCATTCATTATCAATCACTAAGAGAGCCCTGGGGAATTTTGTCTGATTAAGGCTCATTTTTGGAGAGCCGGTATATAAAGGTTAGCGGGTCCCACGCACACGTACGCTCCGCATCAACTCCCCGAAACAAACAGATTCCTCTCCGAGCTCGTCTTCACGCGGTGGTTTTGTTTTCTCAACAGACCGTCTGGAATCATCGCAGGTGAGCGCCTTCGTTCAGGTACGCGGGGGTCCCACGGTTGCCCTATTCACCTTGCGCGTCCTTCATACGCGGATTCGTAATCGCGTTCGTAATGAAAATACGGCAGTCCAAAATTGTGCGCTTTGCCACGAAATGTATAGCTGGTGTCTCGAGGTCAAATGTACACGCACGCACGTGCACATTTGAAGATTGCGCACGCGGCTATACTGTCTATAGACGGTGGAGCGGTGGCACAGTGGTTAGCTCACTTGCACTGTCAACCTTGGAAGACGTACGTTTGATCCTTCGCCACGGCTGACACATCCACAATTTTGTACGCGTTGTGTAATCTGTGCGGTCCTTTTTTCGTGTCAATCCACTGCTGGATGATGGCTTCCCCAACGCCGTGTGGAAAACAGAGACTTCGGGAGCATAGAAGTACAGAACAGTAGATTGTGCTGCGCTAGCCTCACAGCCTATGGGATGGTGGTCACCCATCCAAGCACTTCCCCAGGCTCAAACTTGCTTAGCTTCTCACAAGGTCGGAAAGTTTTCGGGCGAGAAGGTCGATCGCCCAGCTGGTACATCGAGGTGAGATGCACAGGTGTCACCTTGGAGAGCGCAGCGCGGGTCGCCTCCTGCGTCGTCGCGTCGTCTAACGCACTTGCCGTGCGCAATGCCGACTGCAGCGGGTGGAGCAGAGAGTGGTTCGCGCAAGCCGGATGAATTCGATTCCTGTCCACGGCGACCATCAATAGTGGCAGTGACCAGAGTGGTGAAGTATGGACAAACAAACTCCCTCCTCCCCCCGCCCGCCAGCGTAATCCAGCAGTGTATTGACAAAGTGCTGTACATTTAGCTTTAAATAAACAGCGGCGAGAGGTGATGGTATAGGTTGTGCGCGTTTAAACAATGTTTGCTTGCGTTTGTTTGTGCATTTGGTGCGTTTTTGCGTGGACACAAATACACACAAAAACAAAGATCCCCCGTGTAGCCTTAACATAATTTTGGAGGGAGTTGCTGGTAGCGAGCACCTGTTGTAGGCAGACACGGTACAGGAGGGGGTGGGTGGCCAGGACCACGCCCGGCCGCCTTTGTCTCCCTAGTTGCGAAGTTTACACCACCGCACCAGGTACTCATTTGAGGCTGAGTCGACCTCGGGGACGCCCAGGACCGATTCAGACAATAGTCACTGGTGTTGGCTGTGAGCGGGAATCGAACGCAGCCTTGAAGCACACACACACACATACACACGTGTGCTGATATTGGCCTTCATAGGTGCTCGTGAACATCACTTGCCCCAAGTCTGTTGAGACTAAACGGGGGATCTTTGCCTTCGTGCCCGTGTGGACAATCGCGTGGCACGGCGGTTATCTCACTTACGCTCGGAAACCGACAACACCGAGTTCAATTCCCCGGTCACGGCGCCCAACACCCAGTCCTGGGCCCGAACCGGTCCTGGCCTTCCTCTAGGTCGACTCGGCTTCAAAACGAGCACTGCAGCTCATGCGCTGTGTAGACATGGCCACTGGCGACACAATGGTTCTGCCCCCGGGCGTGGTACTGGTCACCCACGCCCCTGGTGTGTCGTGCCGGCGGAGGCTTCGTAGGCGCGCGCTCGCTCACAGCACTTGCTCATCTGCCCAACAAAGTCTGTGAAGGCTAATTACCGGGGGGGGGGGGGGGATTGTTCTTTGTCTTTGTGTTGACAATTTACAGAAGCCACACTCGGCTGCTGTAGAGATGGCACTGCGCGGTCAAAGTCTGGCTCTGCTGCTGCTGGCGTCGGCGCTGTTCGTGTCGCTGACGCACACACAGCACTGGTCCCACGACTGGAAACCCGGAGGGAAACGCGACCTGGAGGCCATGAGACCACTGCTGGAGGTCACTCGCACGCGAGCGCTTTTGTCTCTCATTCCCGCCACCCCCCCCCCCCTCTGCGTCCGATGGACGAGAATGTGTGCTACGAAGAAGGGCAATTGCCCGAAACGTCGCCCGTTACACGCTACATGTTGCCTATCGAGGCAGTGCTATTGACGACGATGTGGTTGATGTTCATTTCGCGCGTGCCATTGTGCCACTGCGCCACTGCCAACGCAACATCACCAAACGATTCGTTAGACGCGAGACCAGGGGGGGAGGGGGGTGTGGGGGGTGGTTACCAACCTGCAGCTCTGGAGCGGCGTGCAACTCTTTAAGGATTAGCTTCGATGCGCGATTTTTCAAGGACCACCACAGTCTCGTATTCTCATTGCAGTGGGGGCGCTCTTGAATTAGAGGGTTTATTTTTATACCGAATTCGAAACAAATGTCTCTTCTTGTTATTATGATTGACGACCCCTGCGCTAGACCACGGTGTATTATACTCGAAATTGTTCAACGACCAGCTTACGAGTTATTTATTACGATTGTTTACGCAGGAGTCTTGGCACAGTTTTATTTGTTTTATATGTATACAATATTTAAATGGAGTAATTCACGGGTAATTGGACTAGGACACCGGCACACGATGGCCTGTTCTTGCGAATGACGTCAGGGAAACATTCATGTCTATTGTGAAAGGGACAGTCTTATGGTTATTACAACCGCAGTATTAACCAGGGCGGCCGCTGGACTGGAACCGTGAACCTCTGCAACAAGAGGCGAACGCGCTCACCCGCTAGTTCACGTTACAAGCGATAGCGTTCAAAAACTCGAAATGTAAATGCAAAAAAAATAGTTGCACTAAGTTATTTTGTTAATTTTAAATGTATAAAGTAAATAAACTAGAGAACAGCCACCGAGGAGATGGAGTTATCAAATCGATGCCAGGTAGATTACTACATCGCACCATCGTGAGAGGAGGCTATGGCTTGAGGGATGCCTTCATCCAGCAGTGGATTGACCATGACCGATGGTGATAACTTGAAGAAAAGTGTATTCTAGTGGTATATATGTGTGTGACTATGTGCGTTTTAACTAATAACATCCGAATTCATAGCGTTAATTACTCATTTCCCAGGTGCCTTTCGTGGGATGTTTATCCGATTTCTCGACGCACATGGCATTTGGCACGAAACCAAAGCGAACATCAACGTTCACATTAACATTATGATCGTCTTGCGTTTGATGACAATTTGTTCAGGAGACAACCAATTTCGAGGTCCGTTAGCCGCAATGAGAGAGCGGGCTTCAGGAGAGAGACTTCGTGTAGTTTTGCCATTTCTCCTCCGTCGAAGGAGTGCAGACCCGCAGTGGTTTATTATATGTTCCGCAGCTCAGATTAGCACGGTTGTCGATTTAAGGTGCGCGAAAGAAGTTCAACATCCACACAAATCACAGGCTGGTCATTTTGATTTCATTGTCATCTCGCCTCTCTCTTCGAACACGCAGATCGCTTGGCTACAATCATGCGACAGTGGATTGTCTTTCATATTTAAATTCACATTAATAACAGCATTTGAACGTGATATATATGTGTATGCTTCGGTAAGCTGAAACTAACACTCGCTAATATTGTGGGAAAAACACACATTGCATGTCATGTGCATGTTTCAGTTAACATACAACATTGGTAGCCGTGGCACACTACGGGAAGCAGAGTTAGCAGTCAGTTGTGAAACATGGCAGACGTGGGGGGGAGGGGGGGAAATGAGCGTGAAAAAGAAGAAGGAATACCGGGACAGCAGTGCCCGGGACGGTCATAGAGGAGAGTGGCACGGCTCAAGATGAGCGCGTGCCACTTTTATTTCTGCCAGCAGCAACAGCACCGGAGCCGACATCGATACGAAACACGAAGTCGCCAGCAACAAATAACCAAACGAAATAACAAACACAAACAAGTATAACCCGTAAAAGCAAAGTTTTTCACTATAAATCCTTTATATGCGTGGCGGCTAGAGTCCTCTCGTCCTCTGGCTTGAGATGGCTGCCACCTATGGGTCAGATGATTGTCTGCCAGTATTAAGCAATAGGTAATTAAATATTTAATTTGTTTTCCCTAAACAGTGTAACATTTTGGAAAAAAATTTTCACGAACATTGTCTCGCACAACGAGTCTGTGTGCAAAATGTCAGCTCGATTGGATCACGGGAAGTGGGTTAAAAAACGACCGAAAGATTTGCACGGTCGTAAGCAAGCAAGCAAGCACGCAAGCAAGCAAGCAAGTGAACTTAATATAAAGGATTAAAAAACAACAGCACGCGCTGCGGCCACGTGGCACTGCTGCACGCGTCACGCACAAACACAAACGCGTCACGTGGTGGTGATGACGGGGTGGGTAGGGAGACGATAGGAGTGTAAAAAGCAGAGAGGGTGATGTGTACGGGGGGAGCAAGCGTGCGCGTTTTCGCAGATGGGAGAGATTCATTGCAGGTGGGTGGTTGGGGGTGGCCGCAACTATATGTCGCGAATTTGACGAGGGGCTTGAGCGGGTTTTAATAACACGCACAAAAGTAATCTTCAACAGCAACACGTTGGGCAACCATCATCAACCTCGGCACGCTTTGCTTACTTACTTACTTCACAGGATTCCATCACCGCTGTTGGGTTTCGTCACGCATCCCCGCGATAACCAGCAGCAACCAACACAAATATAAATAACTCTTTGGTTCTTTCGGTAAAGTCACGTGACTTTACCGAAAGATCCAAAGAGTAATTCCTGCAGTCACGAAAGCTCCAAATTTAAGAACAAATATAAATACGCGCGCGGCAATTTATATTTTGGCAGCCGAACATCAAGGCACCGCCATACCGGCTTAATTCTAAGTTCGAGCTCACTTTACCTTGTGAGCAGCCACTATTACCTGTTGCTCACACAGCAGAAACCCGAGAGACTTGATGCTGAGCAGTCCTCCCTCAACGTTGTGGGCACGAACAGGAGCGCAGCTTCAGCGCAACAAACCACAAACAAACTCAATCCATTTCAAGAGCTGCAGAGGCAACTTTTTTTTAAACATCCAGGAATAAATGTGCGCGGACCAGAGACACCTTCAAATAGGTTGGCAAAAAGGTGTCGTCACTCGCGAACAATAACAGGAACCCCAGCATGCATTGCGCGTCACGATGCCATCACCTATTGCGGACATTCTGCACACAGCCTTGTGATGGCCACGACCTCGTTTGGCCTCACGTGGAATACACGTGCACGTCTCTGGCTCAAGCAAAGCAGCGTGAAGCCTGGATAGTGCTTTGACGGGTGGCCACCATGCGTGTGTGAGCAGGCTCTCTCCCCACCAGGGTTCCAGTTCGCCTGTTCCTCCGCCGTCACGCACAGCGCCCCCTCCTTCATCCACCGCTCACTCCTCCGAGGTCCCCTCCTAACCCTCGCGGTCCCCTCTCCCATCCCCTCTACCTCCGCGCATCTCTGTCACCTCGTTACGAGCTACCAATCGCAATTGTCGTCACACCTCCAGACCAAGCCCCCTCGTCTCCGGCCACCGGTCTCCCTTTCTTCATACCGTGGGATTTAGGCGACTCGGAAACGATGCCGTCGATTCAACTTTCCGCAGCGGGATATCGAACCGGGCGGGTACGTCCGCGTGTGTGAATGTGACGCCTTTGTGTGTGCGTGCCACGTGATTTCAGCAGGAGCTTGAGGCACCGGACAGCGCGTTCGAATGCGACGGACCCGAATGCGCCTTCGCTCGAGTGCCGAGCAGTGAGCTCGTCAGGGAGATCATGGTGAGTAGCTGCGTGCTTTCCCTGCAGCTGCCCTACTGCCTAGGCAAGTGTGCAAGAGTGTCTGTGAAGAGGCTGCCGAGATCAGAGTCGTGTGACTTTCTAAACCCATTGATTTAAACTAAAAAAAATCTCAAAAAACTGATTACCAGCAGTAGATATACGAAGGCTGCTGCTGTTGATGATGTCATTATTTTATCTGGGAAAATATATACCTTTGACAATGTTAAACATTTGCACCTCCGATGTAGCACAGTTGGCTACGTAAGGTACAAACGAAGTTCAACATACATACATTACTGAAATAGCGTGATTGTAAGAGTAACACATTTCCCTTATAAGGGAGTGGGGTTTGTGGGGGAGCGGTGGCGCAGTGGTTATCGAACTGCACTTTGAACACAGCGAACTGAGAACAACAACAATTGTACAATGCGAAAAATAGGGGAAAAAGTCGCCTGGGTTCTCACGTGTGCCGCTGGACGGGAGGTGATGGGCGGGACTTGGCGACATTATCGGCATTATCAGGCACGTCACGCTGGGCGCGGCGTGTAGGGGGTTTCCCGCCTTCCGAGTAATCGAGCAAACAGAAATAATCGATAATAATTTTATCGAACCATAAAAAACATGCCTATTATCATTTTGAGTAAATTCATTGACATATCGTCGCCGCTCTAGTCTTAAGCTTATGCATTAATTCCGCAATTCCGAGTCGAATCAGGGCCCTCTAGCGACCCATTGCCAACTGCTGCCACAGAAGAAGAGCTCAGACACTTGCCGCAGCGATCGGCAGAGCGCTCCGTGTGGCACGCGTCCTTGTCGACATGCCTTCAACGCGAGCACTCACGCACTCAGACACGGCGGTGATGTTATCTCGGTGCAAGTAAATAAACATACATTCCAGCCAATTCACCAAATAGATATGAAGTGTGTGTGTTTAAAAAATAAATTTTACATACTTCAAGAGAGAAGTGGTGGAGGGCAGGACCCCAGGCATGCCATCACTTGGCACTCACCGATGTTAGCCGTGGCCTGGGAATCGAACTCGGTGCACTGGGTTAATAGCGCAGCGCACTAACCAGTGTACCACCGCTCCATCCGAGGTATAAAGCACACCGCTCTACTGTTTGCGGCCCTTTGCCGATCTACTGCTGGACGAAGGCTTCCCCAGTCCATTGCATTCTCTGACGATCCTGCGATGCAACAATACACCGGGCGCATGATCGGACTGTGCATGATTGAAATGAGGAACGTTCTAATGGACGCGTTTGACACGATGCTGCTGCATAACCGTGTGCTTTCAGAGTTACCTCTCGCAGAAGAATTATCAAAGGAAAGTTCTGAAGTAAAAGCCCCGCGTCTCAAGCTGCAGACGAAGACAATCAACGCTCCCGACAATTCGAGAAGTTTCCTCGAGAGCGCCACGTGACGCGAACCCAGTCAATGAAATGCCCTCGCTGTGGTCTGTGACGTCTCGTAGACCCTTTGTGTTTATTTAATTCTTCATCGCCGCTCAGCGTATCGTCAACGTGACCGTGGCCATGTGCGTTTATGTGCACCATACATCGTAGCGTGTCCCAGAGTGGCTGTGTGTAGGTGGCGTACACTTTGTTATTATTGGTCACGAACAGGCCACGCGTAACAACGAGGCGTTGTCCGTGAATAAAGTTGTTCTAAGCGATGACTCCGAGTGCATTTGTTTTTATTGGTGTAGACAAATGAAAGAGTCCTGAGTGAGTATTAAAAGCAGTGCTCATCTGCGGTGGTTGACGCAGCCCCATCACTGGATGGGCTGAGCTCTGCACCTTTAAATCGAGATTGAAAATTAATTTCTTTGGAACTTATTGTTGTGTGGAGTTTGTTATCCTTCCACCGCACCTCCGATTAGCACGGTCGGCTACGCACGGTGCGAAATGAGTCCAGCATACATACATACAGCCCCGAGCCAGTGGGGGCAGCACCGCATTCCTGTGACGGGGGCGTGTACATCCATCTGACAACCACTGTTGACTTACCCACGAAGCGGTACCTATTTTCTCGAGCCCGGAAGTATGATGGGCTGAGTCAACCCCCCCCCAAACCAGGTTTGAACTCGCCATCCTTCCGTTTGCGAGATTTCTCGCTCTCACCGCTCAGCCACCTGACCCTGACTGACCTCTTTCCCAATAACCTCGTTGGAAGCGGTCGTCGCGAGTGCATTTATTTTTTATTGGTAAAATCAACTCTTTAAACGCACGCAACTGCAAACTGCAATACGCGACGCGCACGCAACGAACGGCAAAACGTTCCTACGTAAGCCAATGTGACAGCGATGATGTCACGTGAACGTGAAGTTGAATGTTCTGCACCGCAGTTTACTTCGCTGTCGGGCTGTGGCGGTTCCACCTGAAGACGGAAGCTTGTGTTGCCTCCGAAACGTCGTGATTTTTATTTTATTTTACTTTTATTAATTTTTATTTTTTTTACCTACGTGACTTTACCGAAAAACCTAAGAATATGAATCCTTGCAGTCACGAAAGCTTCAAATCTAGAATCCATTGGGACGTGCTCTTCCATTTGCCAATAGGGCAGTGTACTTCACCAATGTTCATGGGGGGGGCACTGTCGCCGATAAGACATCATCAGCGTGACACCCGCCACACATTTGAAACCATTGGGATTTGACAGCGATGATGGGGAGGTTTTGTCACGTTGGTGTATTGTCGGGAGCCGCACTAAAGGCCGCCAGGGACTGGCAGTGGCGCGCGGGCCTTGCAATGAAGACCACTGCAATAGAGGCTTGTGTAACTTTGGCTTACGTGTTGAAATATGTATTTACAACATTGTCGCAGCAGACTAAGGGCGGGAGAGGGGCGGTAATTAGCGCATTGCTCTACGAGTATTGAACTCAGGAGGCTGTGTTCATAGCGCTAACCACTGCGTCACCGCTCTCCCAAAGTCGAATACAGTACTTGCAGTAATTATAATAATACAAAAATCGTTAGACATATCCACAATACATTAAAGACGATGCAAAGCATCGCACACATTTGGCTCTCCGATGTTTTCAAGTTGTACTGCGCGTTGCTCAGCATGATGTCCGAAGTTTCGCACCACGTGCTCAGGACATCTCCCGGATCATGTCAGAAAACACACCGAAGACCTCACAACAGTACAGCCGTGAAAATTATATAATGCCCGTGACAAACCAAAGTAAATCGGCACGTTGTGCAGAATCGGGTTACACGTCCCATCGACCAATGCAGCACTGGCTTCGTGGGACAAAATCATACGGAGTAATTGGCATCATCATCATCATCAACATCGTAATCATCATGATTAGCCCGCGCGCTCGCAAAGGTAAGGAGGCTGATGAATGCGATGGTGCTCAGTGGCTCGCGCCAGCCGTGCCCTTTGCAACAGGTGGCTCAGGAATTGAGTCTGCAGTCTGCTCGGTTTCGTCGCTTGCGTCTCCTCGTCTCCGCTAGGGCCGAGCGCCGATGGCTCTGCATCCATGTGATCGACGGTCTGCAACAGAGGGTTATTGGGGGCGAGTGAAAATCAACGCTTTACGTCGAGATCAGGGGTAGGCAAAATGCGGGAAACGCGTGCTGCTCTTTAAGGACTGCAGGTGCGGCTCTTGAAATTCGAAAAAAAAATTGCTCTTATTCTTATTTGTCTTGTGTTTCCCATTGGAAGTCCAGTTTACCATGGAAGTCCAGTTGACCATGGAAGTCCAGTTCACAATGGAAGTCCAGCTTACCATGGAAGTCCAGTTTACCATGGAAGTCCAGTTGACCATGGAAGTCCAGTTGACCATGGAAGTCCAGTTCACAATGGAAGTCCAGCTTACCATGGAAGTCCAGTTTACCATGGAAGTCAAGTTGACCATGGAAGTCCAGTTGACCATGGAAGTCCAGTTGACCATGGAAGTCCAGTTCACAATGGAAGTCCAGCTTACCATGGAAGTCCAGTTTACCATGGAAGTCAACTTGACCATGGAAGTCCAGTTGACCATGGAAGTCCAGTTTACCATGGAAGTCAAGTTGACCATGGAAGTCAAGTTGACCATGGAAGTCCAGTTGACCATGGAAGTCCAGTTCACCATGGAAATCCAGTTTACAATGGAAGTCCAGCTTACCATGAAAGTCCAGTTCACCATGGAAGTTCAGTTCACAATGGAAGTCGAGCTTACCATGGAAGTCCAGTTTACCATGGAAGTTCAGTTCACCATGGAAGTCCAGTTTACCATGGAAGTCCAGTTTACCATGGAAGTCAACTTGACCATGGAAGTCCAGTTGACCATGGAAGTCCAGTTCACAATGGAAGTCCAGTTCACAATGGAATTCCAGCTTACCATGGAAGTCCAGTTCACAATGGAAGTCCAGCTTACCATGGAAGTCCAGCTTACCATGGAAGTCCAGTTTACCATGGAAGTCAAGTTTACCATATGAGTCCAGTTGACCATGGAAGTCCAGTTTACCATGGAAGTCAAGTTGACCATGGAAGTCCAGTTTACCATGGAAGTCAAGTTCACCATGGAAGTCCAGCTTACCATAGAAGTCCAGTTCACAATGGAAGTCCAGCTTACCATGGAAGTCCAATTCACAATGGAAGTCCAGCTTACCATGGAAGTCCAGCTTACCATGGAAGTCCAGTTCACAATGGAAGTCCAGTTCACAATGGAATTCCAGCTTACCATAGAAGTCCAGTTCACAATGGAAGTCCAGCTTACCATGGAAGTCCAGTTTACCATGGAAGTCAAGTTCACCATGGAAGTCCAGTTGACCATGGAAGTCCAGTTCACAATGGAATACCAGTTCACAATGGAAGTCCAGTTTACCATGGGAGTCCAGTTCACCATGGGAATCCAGTTCACCATGGAAGTCCAGTTCACCATGGGAGTCCAGTTTACCATGGAAGTCCAGTTTACCATGGAAGTCCAGTTCACAATGGAAGTCCAGTTCTCCATGGAAGTCCAGTTTACCATGGAAGTCCAGTTTACCATGGAAGTCTAGTTCACCATGGGAGTCCAGCTTACCATGGAAGTCCAGTTCACAATGGAAGTCCAGTTCACGATGGAATTCCAGCTTACCATGGAAGTCCAGTTCACAATGGAAGTCCAGCTTACCATGGAAGTCCAGCTTACCATGGAAGTCCAGTTTACCATGGAAGTCAAGTTCACAATGGAAGTCCAGCTTACCATGGAAGTCCAGTTTACCATGGAAGTCAAGTTCACAATGGAAGTCCAGCTTACCATGGAAGTCCAGTTTACCATGGAAGTCCAGTTGACCATTGAAGTCCAGTTCACAATGGAAGTCCAGTTCTCCATGGAAGTCCAGTTTACCATGGAAGTCTAGTTCACCATGAGAGTCCAGTTTACCATGGAAGTCCAGTTTACCATGGAAGTCTAGTTCACCATGGGAGTCCAGTTTACCATGGAAGTCCAGTTCACCATGGGAGTCCAGTTTACCATGGAAGTCCAGTTTACCATGGAAGTCCAGTTCACAATGGAAGTCCAGTTCTCCATGGAAGTCCAGTTTACTATGGAAGTCCAGTTTACCATGGAAGTCTAGTTCACCATGGGAGTCCAGCTTACCATGGAAGTCCAGTTCACAATGGAAGTCCAGTTCACAATGGAATTCCAGCTTACCATGGAAGTCCAGTTCACAATGGAAGTCCAGCTTACCATGGAAGTCCAGCTTACCATGGAAGTCCAGTTTACCATGGAAGTCAAGTTCACAATGGAATTCCAGCTTACCATGGAAGTCCAATTCACAATGGAAGTCCAGCTTACCATGGAAGTCCAGCTTACCATGGAAGTCCAGTTTACCATGGAAGTCAAGTTCACAATGGAAGTCCAGCTTACCATGGAAGTCCAGCTTACCATGGAAGTCCAGTTTACCATGGAAGTCCAGTTGACCATTGAAGTCCAGTTCACAATGGAAGTCCAGTTCTCCATGGAAGTCCAGTTTACCATGGAAGTCTAGTTCACCATGGGAGTCCAGTTTACCATGGAAGTCCAGTTTACCATGGGAGTCCAGTTCACCATGGGCAGGGTTCGGCAACCTGTGGCTCCGGAGCCACGTGCGGCTCTTCCAGGACTGCCTCGTGACACGCGAGTTATCACCACAGTGCACTGCGGCTCTTGAAACCTTGATATTGTTTTAGTTACACCGAATTCTATAAATATGGCTCGTATTCATACTCTTAGGTTTTTTCGGTAAAGTCACGTAGGTAAAAATAAACAATAAAAACAATAGAAATAATAATAGAAATAAAATGAAAAATCACGACGTTTCGGAGGCAACACAAGTCTCTGTCATCAGGTCGGGACCGTCACAGCTAGATTTACTGTTATTATTTCTATGATTTTTATTTTTATTATTTACTTTTACAGTACCTACGTGACTTTACCGAAAAAAACCTAAGAGTATGAATCCTTGCAGTCACGAAAGCTTCAAATCTAGAATGGCTCGTATTGTTATTCCGACTGCCGACCTCCTGTTCAGATTAGTCAGATGGTGTTAAAGCCTTCCAACATGAGCATCTGTCCGATGCGTGTTTCGGGTTGTACCGCGTGTCGTGTCCGACGTTTTGCCCCCACGTGCCGGGAGCTTCTTCAGGAACTCTACGCGCTCCTGTCAATCAATCAATTATTTGGCAGAACTGCACGCGGAGCGAAACGTCAGGGACTGCAGAAGGAAGCTCCCAGCACGTGAAGATAAACTTCGGACATCATGCCGAACAACAACTTACGGTAGATGCAAACTGAAAACGCATCACAGAGCACTGCAGTTGAACCGAGAAAGCCTACGCAGTCATATTTAGCATGCAGTATGGAAGCCGATAAGAAGACGTGACTGTAAAACTCCTTTGCAAATTAGAATATAGTATTTGTTGTTGTTGCTCTGGTTCGTTTCTCCAAGTCTTCAGTAGGCCGAGTCCTGAAGAGCAACACAACCCTGTGCGAAAGTTTCGTTCATGTCGGGTCATCTTTACTCGAGTTATCGTTCGCCCCTCCGTTACAGAAGGACGCACCAAACCAACGCACAAACACTTGAGTTGGAACGGGTTGAAGCAAAATGCAAAGTTCGCAAGTGAATTGTCATCAATCTGGAACGACCACACACTTGCACGCATGCGCTCCTCATAGACCGGCCACAACATTTTAGTCCGCGGCATACAAGGGAAGTCAAACACGTAAAATTGCAAACTACAATCTTTAGAACTACTTTTTTGCATTTAGTTTGTTGCCTTTCCCCGCACCTCCGATTAGCACGGTTGGCTACGTACGGTGCGAAAGAAGTTCAACACCCGTAACATTTACAGAACGCACGTAACGTTCAAGACATCATTTCGACGTCAGAAACAAACACGCGCAGATCGGTTGGTTTGGGTGGGACGCGTCTCTGAAAGCGACGATGGGCTGTGGTCGAGACTCACGACGGAACGGTAGCTCAAGGAGGAGGGTGGAACACGCCCGAAGAGCACGTGGGCCGCAGAGATGAAGCGATAACCAAAAAAATCCGCTCGTGCGCGCGAGATCGCTGGTTTGTGCTGTTTTAAATGTTTTATTTAGAAGACGGTCGCTTGTTGTTGCGATCGAAACTTCGTGATCTATTATTTGTTTATACCTATGCGACTTTACCGAAAGAACCAAAGCGTATGGATTCATGCAGTCACGAAATCTTCAAATCAAGATTCATCTCTTTAGAACCGCTTTTTATTTGCGTCTTTAATTAGTTGTCCTTCCCCAGCACATGCGATTAGCGCGGCGCGAAAGATGAAGAAGCGGGCATCGGACGAACCTTGGACACTGCGGCAGAGGCTCGGGGTATACACCCCGTGCCTGTCGAGGCACGGGTTAGGACCCGGGTGCGGCACGGGGTGACGCAGCGCGCAGCCTCCGACCCCGCGGAGTGGAGCCACCCTGCCCAGCCGAGCTCGCGGTCCCAGACTCGACGTCTCCCCGCAGGAGGAGCCCCGCAGCCGGGCGCATGGATGCAGCAGGGAAGCCCGCGCGGTACATGCCACAGCGCCTCCTCCTAGCGGCCGTACACCGGGGAGCGGCTGAGGGCACAGCTTCGTCTGCAATGGATGACGCCATGGGAGAGATTCACAATCAGGAGTGTGTTTCCCCGAGTGTGTGTGTTTGTAATGTGCTAGATTTGAAGCTTTCGTGACTGCAAGGATTCATATTCTTAGGGTTTTTCGGTAAAGTCACGTAGGTAAAAATTTAAAATTAAAATTAATAAAAGTAAAATAAAATAAAAATAAAATAAAAATCACGACGTTTCGGAGGCAACGCAAGCTTCCGTTTTCAGGTGAAACCGTCACAGCACGCTTGCTGTATCAAGTAAATGAGAGATTCCAAGAAATACTACCCCGTATATATACAGTATCTCTTGGAATCTCTCATTTACTTGATACAGCAAGCGTGCTGTGACGGTTCCACCTGAAGACGGAAGCTTGTGTTGCCTCCGAAACGTCGTGATTTTTATTTAATTTTACTTTTATTAATTTAAAATTTTTACCTACGTGACTTTACCGAAAAAAACCTAAGAATATTTGTAATGTGCGTAGAACTTCTTTCGCACCGGACGTAGCCAACCGTGCGCATCGGAGGTTCGAATCGGAGAAAAGCCCATTGAGCTAAGAAGGGCGCACTCGTCTCTGCAGACAACACCGTAGCATACCACAAATACAGATTTAAAAACACAAACTCAACAATGGCACTTAAACCGTACTACCCAGGTAGGAAAAGCAACGTACCGATAATCCTGTGGAGTTGTGCTCACCACTTGGAATGACGCATGGTTTATTATCATAACAAATCCGTAATGTAAAACAACTATTTGGACATGTTTCAACAACTCAACGCATTCGTCAACTGCAGCCGAATCGGGTAACGACCCCTTGCTGTGATCGTATTCTGCTCCGAAGAAGGGGCAGTTCCCGAAACGTCCAGATTCTGTTTACGATTTTTTTTTATATTTCATCCTGCGCACCACTGCCAACGAGGTCTCTCAATGTCGCATAGTTTCGTTGCAGAGGTTCACGGTTCGAGTCTAGCAGCCGCCCTGATTAATACTGCGGATGTATTAACTTTCAAAATGCGCCCAGTCTGCTTCACAGCGGACCTTAAAGATGCTCAGAAGTCATTCGCAGGAATAGACCATTGTGTGCCGACATCACAGTCCTAAACGTTGCTAAATAATGTACCCGAAATTTTACTCAATTGGTATACACACAGCAATCATCTTCACCGAGTGTGAAACCTTGCGGGGCCCCTCCTAAAACGATTATGAAACTCGGTGAGGCTTTCCTGGGTAAATAAGCGTAATCGTTGTACAAAAACAACCCGAAATGAATAACATCTTTGAGTCAATGCATGTCAGTGTCGTCACCAAACAACACTGAGCGACGTGGTGCGGCACAACCAAACAACAACCCACGTGACCGAGATAGCCTGGAGACGCCTTCATCCAGCAGCGGAGGAACCCAGGACTGTAAATGATCATCGTGTACGTGAATGAACACAATCTAGATTTGAAGTTTTCGTGACTGCAATGATTTATACTCTTTGGGTTTTTCGGTAGAGTCCCGTATAGGAAAAAAAATAGAAAAATTAAATAAAATGAAAACAACTAAAATAAAATTAAATAAAATCACGACGTTTCGGGCGCAACACAAGCGTCCTTCTTCAGGTGGGCACAACAAAGCGTAAGCACAACAGCTTAAGTGTGTCGAACAGGTGGCTGTGACGAGGAATTATCTAATTATATAGTCACGAGAGATGAACACATTGACAAACTGCGTTACTTATTCTTCCAATGTGTCACTCCTGCAGCAGCGCAGTGGTGAGTGCGCCGCTTGATAGCGCCTCGCCCACTTAAGTTCGATTCCTGCCACGGCTAACATCAGTGGCGGCTGGTATCTTAACCGATCTTGCCTCGTCCCCCGCAACATCCTTCTCAACATCGTCACTAACCGGTGCCCTGACGTCTGGTCAAACAACACACGGCCGAGGGGATACTTTGATCGAGCAGTGCTCTGGAATGTATTGAATCGTATTATCTCCTTGACAATGGATCATCGTCGGCGTCCTTGACACGTGTATTACAGTGCGCTATATAACATTCCAGGACGCGTTCGAGCATCACATATGCTTAGCCTGCAATCATCTTATCACAATACACCATTGATGTTTTGTTTAGATGGTGGTTATGTCATCACCGTAGCCCAGGAAGAGGACACCGATTTGGGCCGATTGCCTTTCACAATAAGTATATTACATCGCCTGCACTGGAACTTCCCGGTATTGAAAGTTCACTGGATGAGCGAATTTGTTGACGTGAGCACACTCTTCCAAAATTAACATCGAAGCACGATTGTTTTTGCTTGCACTCAATCACGCGTGGCCGCACACGAGAGAGTGTTCACCAAAGAGTCATTCACACGGCCCCTTTGCCAATATGCTTTGCTTGACGAAGGCTCAGGAAGGGGGAGAAAGATTTATCAGGACCGGTTCAGATATCACACTCGTCGCCGATGCTAGCCGTGGCCGAACTCTAGCTCAGTCGAACCCGAACTCGAGCCGAGTCGAACCCAGCGCAGTGGAAAAAAACCACTGCGCTACCGCTCCACTCGACCGACATCATCATCGGCCATGGTCAATCCACTGCTGGATGAAGGCTTCTCCTAAGCCGTCAACCATGTGTCACGATTCTGCGATGTAATAATCCACTTATAGTAAGTGTACTTTCACGCGAGCCGATTTCATCGCTCCATCTCCCATAGTATGCCAGTGATAAGAGTGTGCGCGTGTGCGCGTGTGCGTGTGTGTGCGTGTGCGCGTGTGCGTGTGCGTGCGCGTTTCTTAAAATGTGAATTTACCCACCACCGAGCGAAGAGTGCCCGCGTCCCTCTTGCCTCCGCGGGGACAGTTCCGAATGAAGCACGGCTCGGCGAGTGACACACAGACGCAAAGGCAGAGGAGCAGGCGCGCCATGCTATTGGCACACATCCTCGCGTGCGTGAAAATAGGAATCTCTGTTGCAAAACCCCTGCAGTGTCCCGTCCCCTTTATATACACACACCGCGCCGCACCGCACACCGTGATTCCGTGCCGTTTGGTTTGTGTCGGATTATCATATTCCATTGTCACGTCGCCTTAGCCACCCCCGCCTCGAGTTCCATTGTTAAATCCAATACGAGACGCAAATGCAGCGAGTCTCATTCCCGCGTGGGAGCTGGCCTTGATGGTCAATTACAGACGGTGACACCGTGCGTCACATCGACCCGGCGCGGCGTTTTTTTTTTGTCCAATTCAATACAATTTGAGTCTGGACTTGAATAGTGGCAAGGGGTGGGGGGGGGGGGCCGACGGCACGGATGACTGGGGAAGGATAGTTCTAGCCCGTTGTGAGTGACCTCCCACTGAACGGAGGTTAACTATGGGCTTCGGTAGAGTGAACAATACGGGGAGGACAGCAGTGCGATGAGAGGCCGAAGAGTGCATGAAGCGTACTGGAGTGAGATGAGAGGGGAGAACTGGGCAGGGGTGAGTCTCCAGAGGATCTTGAGGATGATGATGTAGAGTTGAGTTCTTGAAATTGATCCGGCATTGCATTGAGAACCAGAGGGAATAGAATTATTGGTGGGATTTGGTCAAATTTTTGGGTGCGGTTGGTACATTTTTGCAGGGGCATTCTGAATAATCTGCAATTTGGAGACCCGGGGCTTTATGGCGACCATGGCGGAGAGCTGTAATGGTCGAGTCACGAAATGGTGCAGAGAAACAGAGGTGGTGGTAATATGGAGACGCACGCATGTGACAGTGCACAGAAGACTAAAGGTGCAGCCCTGCAATGTCCTGCTCACGACACTGCTGGTGAACTGGGGGGGGGGGGGGGGGGGGCTGGGTATTTGGCTTACTCCACATCGGCCAGACGTCCAGCAAGAGGTGGGAATCCCCACGCCTCACCCCCACCAATAGCGGCCTGCCGAGCAACTGCGGTTTACCCATTTGTAATAATACTCTTCGAGACGACTTGTGGAATCGGTCCTTTTATTTATTCCAGTTCACAAGTACTCCCCGCTGCTGGCAGGCAACGGGAAGTGGGCAGACAGACCACAAGAGACACACCGCCACGTGGCACTCGGAGCCCCGCTCGCACGTGGCCCCTCTCTTCCTTCGTTACTCGTCTGACCACGTGTCGTTCATCTCTCCCCTTATTTAATGCCTGGGTCACGTGGTACGCGCTAGCCAATCCTTGGTAGCCTGCGCCGAATCTTCTAGATTCCCCATCAACTTCCGGGGACCACGCCCCTGACTTGTCTTCCCATTGGCTGAGGCCAAAACCAGCAGAACCAATCACCCTAGCTGGCACCCCTCGATCACGCCAGGGCCATGCTCCCAGGCTCTCCCCCCATTGGCTGTAAAGCAGGACCGGCAGAGCCGATCACCACGTGAGCCGGACATAGGCTCTTATTACACATTTATACACCGGGCGGGAGTGGCGCACGCCTCGAACCCAGCACTGTGGTAGGCGAGGGTTGATGGATCGCACAAATGTTGCGAAGCTTCATTCTCGCGCACTCGTGACACACCAAGTGCTTGTCACAAATGAAGCACAACACCTTGCTGATTTAGTCGAGGAGTATAAATCATCGCGTGAACTCCGATCATCCTCGCAGCAGCAGCGGCGGCTTTCGGCTATCCATCGAACAAAGACGGTCACTGCATCGCGCGCTTCAAACGCGCTTCTCTGGCCGTCTGGAACGCTCTTCCTTCCGATATTAGAAAGTCACTGGAGTATTGCACTTATAAATCTAGATTGAAAACTCATTTACGTGGAACTGCTTTTTGTGTTTAGGTTGTTGTCCTTCCCCCGCACCTCCGATTAGCAAGGTCGGCAACGTACGGTTGCTAAAGAAGTCCAACATACACAAGTTCCCGTAAGCGGCGAGGTACGACGCCCTGGCTTGCCAGAAGGCGAAACGGAAAAATAGGGACTATGCTCCATCTGTTCCATCTGCATGGGTTACAGTGTTGTCCCCTCGCACGCACCCATTGGTTGAAAACGTCGCAATGCGTGCGCACCTCCATGCATCGCGGATTGCACAGCTTTGCGAGATGTAATTTGCATGGACGCTGTATAAAATCGCTGACGATTATACCGCCGAGTGAGTGAACGGGTGCGGGTGATTTTTTAAAACTGTCCCTTTGTTTCAACTCACGTGGCGGTAACATGAAAGCAAATTGGAAGACCTCTGGATTGTAAGATCGGTGTTGTGCCGTTAATAACACGACGGGAGTATGCGTGGATGAGACTTTTTTTTGGAATGCCCCACTGCAAAGGAAAATTACTAACAAAAATTCTGTGAAAATTAGTTCTCAAATGTTACGAGAGAAAAAAACCAGAGCAAAATGTTCAAGAAATGACGAAGTGTTGTGTGCAGGATGGCATGCTTAACAGTCCTTACGTCTTACCCGATCACCGTATATCGCTACCATTATTTTAGTGGGAATCTGTAACTGGATCACCCTAATGTTTTTTTGCAAATGTCCCCTCTCTTTCAATTGTCCATACCAGAAGGCACAATCTATTTGAATCGGTGTGAAAGCGTGTGCTTAAACTCAAGTCACACGCACTATTTTAACTCGCGCAAGACACAGGAACCTTTCTTCACGCTAACACGGAACTCGGCACCCTTCCGTTTCGCTATTCGGCGAACATGACCTTGGGTTGCGCTTTAACAAGGCGCCAACATTCGCCCCGTTGATTGTAATGTAAATCCCCGCGGGCACGTTTATTCTTAGCGCCCGAGTCCCACACTCACCGTCTCAATTCAAACACTGCCAACACAGTTTGTACAAGGAGCACGACATATTAGCATTCTTACACCTGCGGATTCTTTGTTTCCTTTCATTTTCAATTGACCTTCGGAAAACCGAACGGTACAGACAGCAGTACGAAACTTGTATCTGGAAAAAATGGTTCAGAGTTGTTATAAAACCGTCCTTTAAAAAAAAAATGTCCTGCTCAATGTGCATCAACTTCACTACCATGTGTCCGTGTGGAAGCTCGCTAATCGGCAGCCGTTTGCTTCCGACACCCGAGAGATTGAATGCAACAACCATTGAGCCCACCGTTCCTGTTGCACCGTCGACAATGCAAAAACATATTCATCGCCACTTTAAAAGGCACGCATCTGCAAGCATTCACATTTTTCTCCACTTAATTCAAGATTTTCAGCGTTCCATTACTGCAGGCATCCGTCACTGACGTCCATCGCTCACGGCACTCATTGTTAAACCAACACAGCCAAGGTTGAGATTTGTTCTTGAAAGAACAAAATTACTCAAATAAATTCCTGCATAACCTTTTGCCCTTGTTGATTTATAACGAAGCATTGCGATTCGGCCTTTTCAGTGGCGATGAATGGCCCCGCGCATAGCAATCAAAGGCCCCGCCAAATGAATGTACATTCCATTTATTTCATGATGGAAAATGTCTTTTGCGGTCTATATGGAAAAAAGGCTTTAGGGAAGAGCATTCTGTAAGAATGCAACATTTCCCAGATTTCAACACAGCTATTTAGTCGACGAGTAAAAAAAAAACCTTTGCGATTTCAATTTCAAATGATTTTTTCTCTCCCCTCTTTACTCGCAAAAACAAAACCGCAACACATCAGTGACGTGCCATTAAGTCGCACACTCATTGCATGGCTTATTTTAGCCACCACATTTAGAAAGAGCGCAAGCCATGCTCACGAACAAAGCAAAACACTTTTAAAAGGGTACACTTACAGCTAACCTTGCCCAACAGACAAAGCCATTACAACACCTCTACAACCCCGATTCCATCCACCCTTGCTATTGTACGCAATTTCTACAAAATATAAAACAAACGACGCTACACAAGGCACGAAAAAATACACGCGTAAAATATTCCTGGCACGACGGAAAGGGCCTGTGAATTTTGTTCTTTCTCCAAATGTCAAAGTGGGACGCATCCACGCTCTATAAACGCTTACATTTTTTGCCAATAATTGTCAATTAATGGACTGCAACAAGTGTGATAGTGTGGAAACACCAAAAGGATATTCTCCACAACTATCCTGGCGATTTGTATAAACCATGCAAACGTGTTGTCAAGTTCACATGCATCGATATTGGGGCACGCAAAATGGTAAGCATAACATCACACACCACTATTCACAGTGCAAAGTGCAACAGAGTCAATCTTTTAAATTCCAAAATTGTCCAACAGCAAGACAAATTACTTCAGCTATTAAAGGAAAATGGAAATTTTAGTTTTTAAAATACAGGACATTTTTATTAAATGTGTATACAACATTCAACTCACCCACCCTGCCCAAGATAACAAGCTAAAACGCACATACATTATCATAATTATCATAATCGGGTAGTCAATAACATTTCAAGGCAAAGACTTGCTCTGAAATGGCCGGGTGGCTGAGGTCAGAGGCGACAAGCATTGAGAGCATGGGTTTGAGTCCTGGCAACAGCCCGTGATTAAGTAGAGTTCTGGAGTGAACCCGAAATTTTTACACAATATATATTGGACATTTACATTTATTTGGCTTAATTCTCAGTTCGGTGAAGTCAAAATACTGGTTTGACTATCAAAGAAATAAAGCCATCTCATAGCAGTGCCAAGAAAAGTGCAACCCCTACTTCGATAAAATCTCTACCGCGGATATTCACTGCATTTACGAGATTTCCGAATTGATTCCCTCCAAGGACGTGATTAAACAGCACAATTGGCATTTACTGGCCGAAAAAACCGATACATATTTTTGAGTCACTCTTCCCGAGAAATCTTTGTTCCTCCTTGGAGAACAGATAAGAAATGGCAAAGGAAAGAACACGTCTGAGAGCATGATGGCATCAGTTCGTGGGCTGTTACATCGCACGACTATTAAAAGACTATAACACCTTGATGAGGCCTCCATCCAGCAGTGAACAGATCATTTATGAACTGTGTCATGCCTTAGCACAAAGCAGGATTCGATTAAGGAATTTAAGTTTTTTATTTACATTGTGGCGAATGTAGCATCTCCAGCGGCTACACAGGATCACGTGCAGTATTCTGACAAGACATAGGAATTGCTAATCATACATTCTAAAGCGCACGGTTCGTCTGTGTGTAGCGAACATGAAAATCAACATTGAATCGATGAACCTGTGCATCGTTACACACCTACCCAACACCACTGCCCATTCATTATACCACGTATCTGTGTGAAGCGATAGCAGTGGTTAGCACCCTCTGCTATGAATCCAGGGAACCAAGTACGATTCCTGGCCAGAGCTAACATCAATGGCAAGTGACATCTGATCTGGTACTGCCCTCCCCAACGGTCGCTTCATCAACCAGCACTGACCAACCGTGGTGAAGTATGGTCAAAAACTTCCATCACGGACAAGGCATGGGGAGGCCTTCATCCACTGGTGGATTACAAATGGCTGGAGTAAAAAACAAAAACCTTACTTATAATAATACATTTGTACTGGAAGGATCTGCCAGCGAACAGTTTTCGGGAAAGTTGTTGATTAAACGGCCGAGTCTCGCTTCTTGACCTCCTCCTGCAAGTGCACCGCTGTGCGCTTAACGATCCTGCCTTCCTTGTCTACAGCAAAGTTGAAGCTCTTGGGGTTATCGATGGCAGCGTCGATCCGTGCATCCAGGTTCTCAAGGGTGATGAAGTTCTTCACCTCTTCCTGGATGGGACGAAGTTACAAGACAGCTCATTGGAGGTTAAATGGTCGACTGTTATAAAACTGCTACCTGCTTGTTCATGTGTAGAGTATAATACAGTTATCAGTAAAAAAAATCGAAAATTGCATCTAAATACCCAACTGCATGTTACCGAATCACGGGAAATGAGCCTGATCAAGGAAGCAAAGCAGGCTTAAACAACTGGACAATGCTGGGATGGGCAACCGCCATGCATTAACAGGGCGTTATAGGTTGCGGAGCGTATATCAGACGGCACTGCAGCAAAATTATATCGCGACAAATTGACTTAATAACTCACTTTTTTCACTCACTTATTTAGTCTACTATTATAATAGGGGTTTTCCCCTTTTTCTGGTGACAAAACTAAAACCTTTTGCAAGGAATCATGTTTACATTAACCACAATACTTGCAGTCAAAATGCCGTAGTGGCAAGATGTTAACTCCCTCGCCTCGTATGCAGGTCGTGGGTTCGATCCCGACCTGAACACCTGCATATTGAGAGTTTTCATGTTCTCCCCGTGGCAGTGTGGATTTTCCTCCAGGTGCATTGGTTTTCCCTCCATATTTAGAAACATCCATTTACAGTATTTAGCTGCTATAAATTTCCACATGATAAGCCACCTCATTGAGCTACCATTTGTGGCCAGGTTGCTTCTGAAATATATCTGTATAGCTCAGTGGGCCTTACCTGGTAAAATAGAAAATAGTTGCGTTTGATAGTTTAGTTGTAGATGATGTTTTTTTCAGGACACCCCCTCCGTTGTATAAGTGTTCGTGTGTCAAGTACAAAGGTACGAACCTTTAGCCTCCGCACAATTTCTTCCCGCTCTTCTTTCTTCTTCACCTCAAATTCGAAAAGCTTCGATGCGGCTTGTTGCTTGCTCTTCTCTTTAAGAACGACTTCGCTACGATATCGCTCTTCCCTTATCACGGAGAAAGAAGATAAACACTTAGAAATGGCATGCATACCTTATTCTCAAGCTGTTGTCAGAATAAACTCACGCACCACATTTTGGTATCACCGTATATTATTATAGAGTAGATTCAAGGGAGGTCTGGACCGCCCTACTCAATATGCTGTCGCGTTGACCATCGCCAGGACAAGCAGATTGAGAAACGAACAAATTGATTATTTGCAATTCATGCTAATGGCATAACTGAGGCAAAACATCACGTGAGAGAATTTATAAATTAAATACTACAAACGATAGAATGAAAAAATGATCGAATCGCAATCCCCGAATCGTGACAATTCATTGAAACACAGAGGTAGGGAGATTCATCGCATGCTTCATAGGAACAAGAATATTCACGTGACGATGACCACAGGGGTGGGCAACCAAAATACAGGATATTTTTTTTTCGAATTCGGGGAAAAAAATATTTCAAGGAGCCGCAATCCATGTGAATACGTGATGGCGGTCCCTAATCACGTCACGAATCCAGTCCTTGAAGAGCCGCACACAGCTATGGAGCCGCAGGTTGCTGACCTTTGACTGTGACCGACCTCGTTGGAGTGTAAGTCCCCCTCTGAGGTTAAACGAAATCGTGCGAATGGCACAATGAAATCAAGACGTAGACATTTTGGCCGAAAATCCATGTACCGACCTGATCAGTCGGAGGCGTTCATTCTCCGCGTTGTTCCACTCCAGCAGCTGTCGTTGCTCCTCCGCCTCTTGGACAGCACGCTCCTCAGCCCGCAGACCCAAAGACTCCTCTTGTTTCTTCAGGAATAAATCTTTACGAAACTCGCGCCTGAGGAGCGCGCAGCCACAACACCCCACAGAGAAGCATTTTTATTTGTGCTATACCAAATTCCAGTAGAGGATGCCAGAAACCACGCAATCAATGAATTCTACGAGTTGCCAGCCATTATTCTACCAAAGGACATGCACCAGGAGACGGGGGGAGGGAGTGATAAAATCGTTTTTTGTGCAAGATGGATTGTTACATCACATGAATGAGGGGATTTGGAGGTGAACGGGAGTGACTGACGTGATATGGTGGCAAGCTGTTCGCATGGGGGGGGGGGGGGGTGTGGATAGTGGTGGTAGTGTTTAGGTGACCAAAGCTTCATTTTTCATTCAATAGTTTTCGGGGCCTCAACCCCCATGAAACAGTGGGAAACATTTCCCGAAGGTCAGCACCAGCCAGCTGTGGCTGAAATTAAACCAAGGGGTGATTGGTGGCAGTTGTGGAGGCATATGTTTGGTTGGTCAGGTGCAGAGTGGGTGTGTGGCACGTTGCCGTTTTGGGTTGTAGACGTTGGTGCTTGTTTGTTGGGGGTAACTGGTTCGGTAAATTAATGAGGTAGGTGATGAGGTAGGTGATGAGGTAGGTGATGAGGTAGGTGATGAGGTGAAAAACAAGCGAACTCTCGTCGTACTACAAGTTGTAGCGGTTGTGTTGTGGTGCTTCACCAATGCGTGTCCTGATTGTTTCCGCACGTTTGTGTTTGTTTGGCGTGAGCAGGGCTCGGCAACCTGCTGCTCTTTGTGGACTGCTGCTTCGCGACCGCTATTCATTAAGGACCGCCCGTCTCGTATTCACCACACAGTGCATTGCGGGGTTTTCTTGACCGAATTCGACAAAACAAATGTTTCTTCTTATTTCGGTCGCCGACCTCGTGTATGAAGGACATCACAAACCATATTTTCAAGAAACGACACCATCATGATGGATGGTGCTAAGTGGGAACGTGACGGCGATTAAATGACGCCTTTATCGAGCAGTGGACTGACCATGGCTGACGATAATCACGGTTTACCATTCAAGTTAACCCCTTATCAGTGCCTACCTTATTAGACCAATTCAGACCTTATTGGTCACCCCGTGCCCTAATAAATATCAACGTTCATCCTACAGTCCCATCACAAGGGAGAAACACAAATAGATAAAAAAAAAAATCGTTTTTTTAATTACCTAATAGTTATGTGTACTCATACCTGTCAACCCCTTATCAGTGCCTACCTTATTAGACCAATTCAGACCGTATCGGTCACCCCGTGCCCGTATTGAAACGTCTGTACGCCGTATTGACCTGACAACTCAATTTCCCTACACAAGAATACGGGCTAAACCGTGTGGGTTGACAGCTATATGTTTTGACGTACATACGAGTTTAGGACATCATGCCGACCCGACACGCGGTAGCAACCACCACCCCCACGCCCCCGGGGACAGCTGCAACCCACAAGCACCACGTACCGTAGAGCCGCGAAGACGAATCGGTACTGCTCGTAGCGGTCACTCAGCACCAGCATCTCCTCCACGTCGACGGGCGTGGGCTGCCGTACGCGCTCGGCCTTCGACTTGGCTTTGGGATCGCCCCGGGACTTGCGCCCTCGGACCTGCATCAAGGCAATCGCGAGCCGGGGCCGGCAGAAGGGCGCCGCGATCACTCGCCCCGCGCAGATTACGGGCAGCAAAGCCGCCATGGCAGGCGATGGAAGGAGCACAGAGCGGTGATCGCGACTGTGGAAGACAAGCGGAGGTGGTGGTGGGGAGGGGGACGACGACTTTGGTGGCGACGCCGAAGGAGGAGAGAGGAAAGCGAGAAAGGTCGCGTCCACGTGGCGGAGATGTGGTGTGCTCCTCAGGGCGCTGCCATCTTGGTTGAGGTGGGGGTGGGGGCTGCAGCGGGGGGGGGGGGTCACGTGCGGACGCAGTGACGCGCGCTCTGATTGGTCAATCCGCGAGGGTCGTTTTGCTGAGTCTCACTTCAACAGCTACCACCGAATTCTACCCAGCATGGCTCAACGATTTGGGGAAGATATCTAAGTGCGATTTTTCTGACAGATATTGCGATTTGTTTTTCTGACTGCGATTGCGATTTGGTTTGCGATTAATATTTTTTAAGTCAAGCTTCAGTTCAATATTCACTGTGTAATAGATTGAATACATGTGATGGAGCATTACCACGTGACGCCATCACAATATGAACTGCTCTGTATATTTGAATGCAAGGATGAGAACTTAAAAGATATTAATTGCTTCCAACATGTATTTATTAAATTGTTTTAATTAAAATAGAACAATCAAACAATTGTTAAGTTAAATAAATTAAGTTATGATAAAAAAAATACAACAATTCCAAAACGAAAGTTAATAGGACTTTTCAAATCGCGAAAAATCGCAGCCTTTGCGATTTGCTAATCGCATTGTTTCAAATTGGGATTACGATTTGAAATCGCTTAATCGTTCAGCCCTAGTAAGTAGCAGGAGGAGGCTACTAGTAGTAAGTGGTAGTAAGTAGTCGGGAGGAGGAGGCTTTCGCGACCAATATTAGCCACGGCGTTCCGACACGTCCAATTGAGGTGAAGCTTTTCGTCAGAGACGCGGAGCGACTTCGGCGTTTGTTGGGCAGCAGGTGGCGCTCGATTGCCGTGTATACGATCAGTTGATGGTGGGCATCAAGTACAAATCTTTTAATAAATAACACTGGTCAACAATTATTTTTTTCTGGCCTGGACTTTTGCAGCTGTTTTAGACTAATTTCAAGGTGCTGATTCCAAATCTGATCTCAGATTTGCTCTATCACATAATTTTTATGCTATCGGAATACCCCATTTTTCGTTGATTTTACCCGAAATTAACTGTCACTTCTGATTGCAAGTTGTTGCGAGCCAGTGACTGCTTTAGTGTTAAGATATGGTGCTGCATTTTTAGGATAGTGTGTTTATAATATAATTTTATGTATATATCCACATTTATTTAATATTTTTCTTCTGCAGTTTTTATTGAAAATGCAATATTTGATATCTCAAAAACCTGATGTGATAGACAAAAACTGATGCCAGATTTGGAATCAGCACCCCAAAATTACCTTAAAATCGTTAGAATACGCGTATGGCAGAAAAATTGTGTTGACCAGTGTTATCATTCTAATTTATAATGGGCATTCCATCCTAGGACCCCAAATGCGCAATGCATGAAAAGCAGTGACAAAAAACTGAACCAGGGCAAGCGACGAAACTAAAGAGGGAAGGTCGGTTTAAAGAGATGGGGGTTTCAAAGCAGACTTAAAGATGTCTACCGACTCCGATTGCTTTGCTTTCAAAGTGTCAAGGCGTTCCAAAGCTTGGGTGCCACGCTAATAAAAGCCCGGTAGTCGCCCCGTTGGCTTTTTTCTATTGTTCACGGGGTGTGAATACCCAGGGCTTAATTTCAAATAAAACCCGTTGGATAGCTCCGTCTGAAATGAAGCCCAGAGCACACGCCTTTGTTTACGAGAGATGTCTGACAAGAGATCACAGCCGACTGGTTGTTTCTCGTGAATAATCGGTACGTTGCTAAATGTATTCAAATATCGGAAAATACTGAATCTAGTACTGCATTCATTTCACAATTACCGGAATGTATGCAGCATGCAACGTTGCATTTATAGTGATACAACATTCATTACGATTTCAATTGTAACCGACGACTCAGAAAATAGAATTTGTTAAGTAAAACACAAACTGTTAAAGACATGTACATCAGTGAAAGTTGTGACGTATTTCCTTCCCCCGCGACTTTGATTAGCGCGGCTGACTATGTACGGTGTGAAAGAAGTTAAACATTTATACAAATCACAGGCTAATTTGATGATGATTTACAGCAATATATTAAAGTAGTGCGTACTTCATCCAGCGGTAGATTGACAATACGTAAAAAAAACTGGAGTTAAACATGTTTTGTTAAAATTGGTGTTTAAAAAAATGTAATCACACTTTCAATATACATTACCTATTAAATAATGCTCTACAACACTGCAGAAGTAGCAAATACACGTCTCAAGACATTGCAGCATACCCATACCAATTTCTCTTAAAAGTGGGATGTTATTGTCAAAAATCTATATGTGAAATCCTAAGTTTAGAAGGAAGTGTTCGGAAAGTGAATCGGCACACACACACACTTCCTTGCAACTTAATATTTCACTTCAAGACGATTTTTTTTAAAACAAATAACATTCCACTTACAAGATTAATCATAAGTTGGATGGAACTATACTGAATTGTGACTTAGTGACACGCACACTCCCGGTGTACTCTCCCCCTTTCTTGTTTAGCAGAAGGATTAAAGACCAGTTAATGGAAAGGGACACATTTGCAATTTTCTGACTCATTTGCGAGCTTATAAAAGGGCCTTATGTGTGCTCTCGTAGCATCAGTCTAATTCTGCATCGTCTTATAATTTAAAGGCAGTGCAATAATGCCTTGGGGAGGCGCGTCCTCAAAGCTGATTTTTGCAAACCCCCAAGATTAACAAACCACCCGAGAGACGCACACATGAGCCGCAAAGCCACCTGCAAATTAACATGCGCCCTTCTTTGCACAGTTGTTTTGAGTCCTATAACTTCTGAGCAATCCATAGCACTTCACCCAATTTCGTTGCCCACCCCCTCCAACAAAGCCATTGCAATTCCAACGACAGCCTTCCATCGCTCCGATATATTATTCCAGGGCACATTAAAAAAGAAAAGTAATTCTTTAATTATTTTTTTTGTTTTCTAATTATCGCACGGGTCCCTGCAGACGAAGAAAATTTCCACTCCAACCCACCACCCAAACCACCCATCCACCACCACCAACCAACCATCCCACTCACCCGCTTCCCCCTGCCACCCACCCATTACCAACCGCCCTCTCCCCCGCTAATCAAATATGCAAGAGCTTTACTAATTAAAGCCCGTTTCCTAATTAGAGCTCGCACTTAATTAGGGTGCATTAGAATACGAGGCAGTGGCCTGCGGGGATTGCACAGACCCCCCCCCCCACTCGCAGCCCCCCCAGCCGCCACCATCTCCCAGACTCAACACCCCGTGGTTCGTGAAACAAAAAGTGCAAAGTTTTTTTGGCAGAAGGGGGCACGCCAAGCTTTGTGGGGGATTAGAAGGGAATTTATTTTTTCTTAGGTCGAATTAGTTTGGAGAATTGCGCGATATAATGCAGATTTTTTTTCCTCCTCCTCCTCCTCCTCTCCTTGCACTGACGTTATTTTAAATAATGATTATTTACTTATTTTCATTACTTTGTAATTCTTCTTTTTTTACAAATTAAGCTTTGGAATTATACGGATGGAGTGCTTCGAATGCGTACTGAAAAGTACATCCGTTTGCCGTTCTCCCCTAGCGGCATTAAGTTGTTCATTATTCAAAAAAAAAAAGGATTATTCTTGTCACTTTTACGCCTAATTTGAATATGAAGAGTTCGTAACGCTTATTAGACTCAGCCATGAAATTGTAGCTTATAACTATTGTTTTACAAAAAAAAAATTAACTAAATGAATCAACGCTTTTCAAAAAAGGTATAATCCCCGTGTTGCTCAATTTAATCATTTTCGTCCTTTGGCAGACATCGTGTGCTATTACGCCCTACTGCACACGTCGCTTGGCAGACAAAAGCCAGCGCTATTTCCCATTCGAAAAAAAATATATGCGGTGTCATTTCTAATACTTTATATATATTTAAGCATTCCTGTGTAGGTGTGTCAATGCTTTAACATAGAAAAATACAAACTTGAGTTAAATGTCAAATAGCAAACATTTTGTTCGCAATATTAACCCATGTACCACTTTTTTTCTAAAACGCAAACATCGTGTAAGCATTACTTTATAAACATTTACAAGGAGCTTTCATTTTGTTTAGGTAGTATTTGGCTTAAACACGATGCAGGAAACGCATGGCCCAATTAAACACACGTGTCGGATGGAAACTAAGTTATTTTAATGCATAATAAGGGATATAAAAAATCTGTAACACTTAAAATTACAATAATAATTTGCTATTAAACTAGCTTCGTGTAGTACTTTAATATACGGCAACTGTTACACAACATCATAACGTTAAGTGTCCGATTCTCGAAACCGTTTGCCAGTCACTTGTATGGCACCTGCATGTATCCGTGTGCCTCAGGTATTAAATAAAAATGTGCATCTACACAACCGCACATACTATTAAAAATATATATAGTGTACTCCCCCCCCTCTCCCCCAATGAGTTATTTATCTGTAGATAAGGGAATTTAAAATATATCTTGGAGGGCTTAGCATATATATTTGTAACTACAACATAGCATTTTTTTTTGCAGCCTCGCTCTATTACCCAAAGCCACAAGGATGCATGTCTGTGTTCTTATGCAAAGAGCAATGAACGCTGCTGCCCTTATAATGAACGGGGCCGCAAGGCTTGGCGGATACTCACGTGCCCCCAGCCCGCAATTAACAATCCCCTAATTAACGTAGAGATGGTGGAGCATCGTTTATTTAAGTGAGCTGGGGGAGCCACGAGGCGGTGCATGTGGAGAGAGGAGGGGATGGTGGTGGTGGAGGAGGAGGAGGCAAGGGACATATGCAGAGTGCACCCTTCGTAGGCACGCTTATCAACATTCCTGCTGCCAGATTCCTCACTCGCACATCTAAATGCGACCACGTCAGGGGCCATGCTCCCATCGCTCCACTGGCTCCCAATCGGATCCCGGATCAACGTCAAGATCGCACTCACCATCTTCCAGATCCTCCTTGGCCTCCCCCCCCCCCCCTTGCCACCTATCCTGGCTCATCTCAGTCTCGACTCCTTCTCCACGCACTTTTCCACTCCTGCAAGCATTGCTTCCTGTCGAATCCCACAGGTAGCCGT